CGGGTGCAGAAGGAAAAGGAAAAATGCCAGCCAGGCTCTGCAGCCTTTTAGGGAAAAAAAGCACTCGGGTCTGACACGTGGCCGTTGCCGATTCCCTGCCGCTTCCTAAGAGCTGCCCTCCAAGTGCGATGCCTCTGGCCCAGGCACCGGCCCCCTCCGCTCCCCCTTGCCGGCGCTCCCCTGCCACCACAACCTCAGAGCTGAAGACAAGCGCGACGGGGCTCCGTTCCCCCGTCTTCAGGCACAGACAAGACAAACCCTCGCTGAAGGGCTCAAGTTTTCTTCTAGAAAGTTCAGGAGAAGGTGAGGGAGGGGAGGAAAAGGCTCCGTGGCTGAAGAGTGGCAGCTGCATCACCTCCTCCACAGAGCTTACAGGTGTGTGGCATTTCTTGATAATTGGCTCCACACGTTCCAGGCTCTGCCTCAACCTGAATGAACTGAAAAATAGTCAAGGAGGCAGGTGTGCGCATCTCTTACACCCTGTTCACAACGGCACCTTAGTTTACCTCAGTTAAAGCGCGGCGGGGCAGGCAAGTAGCGAAACGGGGAGCACAGAGCTGGAGAAAGCATTTTATTGGGTACCCCAGCACTGAGCAGCTGGGAAAAGGGCAGCGGCAGGGGAAACCCCCTCAAAAGCCCCGCTCTCGACTACGCGTCCCCCGCGTGCGCGCGGCCTCCGACGACGCTTCGGGTGTCTGCAGAGCGCTCCCGCTCCCCACAGCAACATCAAGGGGCACAAAGCAGCTTGGAGGCAGCTTTGGGAAGTGGCGTCATCTTAACTCTCGGGAGCTGCAATGAGCCGAGTCCCTGCTGGGGGGGCACACAGAGCATCCCCAAAGGGCCAGGGAGGCTTTAGGTGACCGCAGCCCCGGAGACAGGGAGATGCCCTTCCCAGGAGCGCCTTTCTCTTGCCCCTTCTTCAGCCCGCTGCCGCTCCTCCTCTCGCTCGCTCTTGCCTCGCGGCTCCTTCCACGCACACGCGCTGGATGCCTCTTCTTTCTTCTCCGCCAGCAGCGGCTGCAAAGGCGGGAGGACGCGGTCAGGACAGAGGGAGGCCGGGCCGGCCCCGGAGGGAGCTCCCCACCGCACCGCCCGACGCCCGGCC